CAAGGCTTCAACTGCATCAGGACTGGTCTCTTGGCTCCATGTGATTATGTTTTCATGTTCTCATGCCTACGTAGCATTTTATGGTGTTGCACAACACAACTACCTCTGAAAACTTGAAGAGTGAAAACACTGAAATACCTGGATATTAGACGGTACCATATTGATGATGCAGTTGTACTGTGAGAGGTGTTCTTAATCTGCTGTGTCCCATTAGTCCAGATTTCTAAATTTACAGATTAACTCTAGCAGTAGGACATATGAAGAGGGTTCCTTTTTTTTTTTTTTTTAAGAAAACAACTGGTAAACCCCTTAGTACGGTTTATGCTTTCAGGAAGCAACTTTTATTGCTTTGAGATCTTCATATCAGTGTGGTCTATTCATTTATAGCTCATTCTTGACCTCTTTTAGCAAATACCCTAGGGAAACATTACACTTTGAGAAATGCCAGCAAAAACATGAATCAAAATTCTTATAAATGTTTAATGCTTCTTGACCTAGTGATGCTTCTTTGTAGAATTTATCCTAAGGAATTAAACAGATGTGCCAAAGATTTATTTTTTAAAATTTTATTTTGAGACAGCAGGGGAGGGGCAGATAGGGAGAGAGAGAGAATCCCAAGCAGGCTCCATGCTGTCAGTGCGGAGCCTGACATGGGGCTCAGTCTCATGAACCAGGAGGTCCTGACCTGAGCCAAAATCAAGACACGGGTACTCGACCGACTGAACCACCCGGGCGCCCTAGACATGTCAAAGATTTATACACAAAGGTATTTATAGTGGTATTAAAACAGTGAGACATTGGAAATAACAAATGTACAACTATAGGGAAATGGTTAAAACATTATATACTCATGATGAAATAACATGAAACTGTTACAAGTCATGTTTTTGAAGAAAACTTTATGACAAAGGAAAATATGCACAATATAAAGTGAAGAAAACAGATGAAGAATAACAGTGATCATCTCTGGATGGTACAATTATGGGTACATTTATGATTTTATGTATTTAAAATTTTTTCTGAAATGAACAAAAATTGTTTTTATAATCAGAAAAGAACCTCATTGATACATCATTATAGATCTCTGAAAGAAATCCCAGCAAACCTGGGGCAATTTCAGCACCTAGCTCTCAAAAAATGTTTGTGGAGTAGGTAGATAGATGGACAAATGAATGAATGAAGGACAGTTGACACTTGTAAGTACCATTACTGAGTTTATATGACTGCTGAAATAAAAAATGAAGGTTTGTTAATTAAAAGGAGAAGATTCCAGACCAGTCAGCAGTTTGAAGGATGGCATGGGAGTTACTGAAGGAGTCACAAAATAAATGAGTGGCTGATGGCAGCCAAGGAGTTGTAGTCTGGCCTTGGGTCCATTGCTGCTCTTGTTGCCCAGCTATCAACACCATGTTTCCTCTTGTTCTATGTGTGTCCTTGAAGTATCTCTTGTGCCTGCTGTTTTCATTGGTCTCTATTCAGTTTGACCAATGACTGAGCAAGTATGAATGACATCAAAGTCACAAGTTCATTTTCCATTTGAACCACTAAATACTTTTCCATATGAGGAGAAGATATACTAAGGCTAACTCTGGCTGGCCAACTCTCAGACTTGGACTTATTAGACAAGCAGGAGAGTTTGGTAGATAAGGGCAACCTGCCTCTAACACTTGTGACACCATTCACAATTCCCCTATACAGAGGGCTGTGTGTTCTTATGTTCTTGTGAGTAGTCCTCTCTGAAACATTTGTGCTATGAATAATGTTAGCTACCCAAAGAATTAGTAGAACACTTAGTCATGTCACAGTTTTTATAACAAATTCACAAGCTCTTTATGGAAATTATAAATGGGACCGATTGATCTACATTCTGTCCTACACGGTGTTAATTTCTTTTGGCTATTTTGATCAAATTGCTGAACAGGATCTGGCTTCTCTGTAAGGCCATCAGGAGACACCATTGGATGTATGAATGAAATCTAAATGTTTCCTCTTCAGTGCATGCCCGTATCTGTGCCAGAGCCTGTGTCAAAGAAAGCCATTAGACTTTTTGCATATTATTCTGTATCTCTGCTCTTGGTGGCTTATTAAACACAGTGTTCTTAATTGCGGTTACTCTTAAACCCAAATGTATGATAATAGGGCCTTGTTTGTATTTGCTGTCCCTTGATCCTGAGATTTACTGTTTGTCTCTTTCAACGTTTATTTATTTTTGGGACAGAGAGAGACAGAGCATGAACGGGGGAGGGGCAGAGAGAGAGGGAGACACAGAATCGGAAGCAGGCTCCAGGCTCTGAGCCGTCAGCCCAGAGCCCGACATGGGGCTCGAACTCACGGACCGCGAGATCGTGACCTGGCTGAAGTCGGACGCTTAACCGACTGCGCCCCCCAGGCGCCCCACTGTTTGTCTCTTTCAACCTGAGTTGTCTCTCACCACTTGTTTTCAGAAACATTCATGGGTTGAGGAATTCACAGTTTGGAGCCTAACTGTCTTTGTCCTGGAGGCCATTATATCTACAGATATGACAGACTCCTTTAAATTGGCCAGCCGGATATTTTATTATTTAGGATTTTTAAGTATGAGGAAGAGAACATTATTTGAGCACTAACCATGTGCTGTCATTTACTAGACATTTTCCTATACATTATTTGAGCTAATCCTTTTGATAACAATATAAGGTAGGCATTATTACCCCAGTTTTACAAATGAGGAAGCTGTAGCTTTGACAGTTAAACAACTGAATGGTAATTTGGACACTGGTCTATTGGACTTCAAAGTTTGTGATTTCCACTGAATATACTGCCTCCCAGTAATAGCAGAGTTTTTTTTAGACTGAGCCTAACACCACAGCATTCACTTAGCTTCTCCTCAGTTCCTTTTTCCTATAATTTTCATTCCACTTTGCTTGTGTTACCTTGGCAAGATCAGTCCTTTGCAGCAAGGCCAGGAAGTTAAGCTTTGGACCACCACTAAGGAGGGCATTGATTTGAGCCTGCTTCCCATTTTGTCCCCAAACCCCGTCACTGTTTGTGTTTTACGTAGCTCCCAGTAACTCATAACCCAATCCAAGAGGGTGCCTATTGCTGGCATAAGTGGTACTTGCTGCGTGCTCAGCACTTCAAGGCACTTGGGGTTCCATCATTCACTTGAGAGCCAAAAAGTTCTTCAGTTGTAGGAACATAAAGCCTGCTCTGGTGAAGGCAAGCATGGTCCTCCTCTGGGCCACTGTGGTAAACAGAGCAACTGCACAAAATAGTCTAGCAAAGGAGGGTTGGTGTGTATTAGAATAGATCAGCGAGAAACAGGCCATTTGTGCTGAAGGTAGAGGGTGAAAATAGGAAGAAGGGAATTTTCAAGTGTATAGAAGTGGAAAGGGATGAACATTCACCTCCAAACAACTGAGGAATACAAGCTGGGAGGTAGTCTAAGACTGAAGGGAAATTAAAACCCAAGTGCAAAACATCATGGTGTGGCGCCATCCTGTGGAGAGGAGGACAGCCGGATTCCATCCTGGTTTGGAACATTTTAGTTTCAGATGTGAATGAAAAAGTTCATGGGCCTCTTGGAATTAGCCTTTACACACTGGACTCAAATGCATCCTCAGGCCATCATTTTAGAGATATCAAAGGGTTAACCTTCCATGGTTGTTTTGGCACCAAATTAAAATTTAATCCATACTGTATTGGTTTCTTCTTGCCTTCTTTGTTTGTCCACTCAGCAGCTTTCTAGGGAGTTAATCTAGTTTAGAACCTCAAGAGACAAATTTCTAAGAATCCTCCGTGGAGACCAGGAGATTGAGGAAAGGGTTACAAGAAAGCTCAGGAATACTGAGCATAATTCCTGGGTTTCTTTCCCAGTCTGTTCTCGAATTTCTGCTGCCAGCGTTGCCCAGAGGGAGGCTGGCCATAATTCCTGGCTGCCAACAGCCATTTTTTTTGTACCCACAGAAAGCAAGATGAGACACCTGTTCCTCAGCTGGTCTCCTGGGACATGTTGGAGGTATCCCCTTATGTGACTGAGTTTCTTAGGAAAATGCAGATTTAAGAGTGTTTAAGAGCTTGGCAGTGCCTTTCTTGGTACCTAACCCTTTTTCCACCTCCTTCACTTCTAGGGTCTCAGAATTTGTGGTTCAGCATTCTCATCAAGTAGCTACAAGTGACCATAAGCCAACTGAGGGGAAGGGGCACCACAGAGTTAGTGGTAGAATGGGAGGGGTCGTAGCAGAAATAACCACAAGATTGGCTATTTCCAAAGAAACAGTGTTTTGAACTCCATGAAGTGCGAGAGAAGACAAGCTGTAGAATCTAATTCAGGTTCCTACATTTCAGGCAAACTCACTACTTAAAATGTCTGATTTACATCAGGGAGGGCAGGACTCCTCACTTTACCAAAGCCATCACTATAGTAAAGAGTTGAGGGGAACAACCTCATGTCTCTAGTGCTGTGCTGTCCAATATGGTAGCTACTAGCCATATGTGGCTGTTGAGCATTTGAAATATGGCTAGTTTGGATTTAGAGGTTCTGAAAGGTAAAACACACACCAGATGCAAAGATTTAGCATGAAAAAAACAGTGCAGTAATTTTTATATTGGTTACATATTGAAAGTATGTTTTAGATATACTGGGTTAAAGGAAACATTAACATTGCCTTTTTTAAACCTTTTAAATGTGGTTACTAGAACATTTAAAATTATATGTGACCTGCATTATATTTATGTTGGATACTGCTGCTGTAGTGTATTCAAGAATAGGATTTGATTTTTTAGCATTATTTCAGTAGTACATTTCTTTCTACCTACCTGTACAGGAGAGACAGATTAATTGCAAAAGAAGCATAGGGAGGAATGGAGATTTGGAAATGAGGAAATTGGTTATAGAAGAAAGTCAGCACCCTACCTCAGTTCCTCTCAGTCTGGGGTGGGGCAGTCAACTGTCTGAAGCAAGCACTTTCATTCCCCTAGCTTTGATTTCCTAGTTGGGGCCCAGAGAGGAGAGGGAGAAGTCACTTTGAAACTTCTCTGCCCTTACCATCTTCGCCATGAAGCTGTGAGTGGGAGATAGTGGTGATAGGACAGGAACTTTCCCTGGGCCCCTCTGGGCCACCATCCCTGGCTGAGAGAAGAAGAAGGAATGAGGTGAGCCCTTTCTTCACTCCCAGGGCCATCTGGTAGAGCTGCTGCCGCACCTCCTTCTGCCAGTAGGCATAGATGAGTGGGTTGAGCAGGGAGTTGCCCACACCGAGCAGCCACAGGTACCGTTCCAGCACCAGGTAGAGGTAGCACTTCTGGCAGGCCACCTGCACAATGCCAGTGATAAGGAATGGGGTCCAGGACAGAGTGAAGCTCCCAATGAGAACAGCCACAGTGCGGACAGCCTTGAAGTCGCTGGGAGTCCGAGGAGGCCGGTATGCTCCGGCCATGGCTCCTGCTTGTTCCATCTTTCGGATCTGCTGGCTGTGCATGGAGGCAATCTTGAGCATATCACAGTAGAAGAAGACAAAGAGGAGCAGGGCTGGGAAGAAGCCAACGCAGGAGAGGGTCAGCACAAAGCGTGGGTGAAACACAGCGAAGAAGCTGCAGGGACCCTGGTAGGTAGTCTGCTGAAATATGGGGACTCCAAGTGGGAGGAAGCCAATAAGGTAAGACACCAACCACAGCCCGGCAATGCAGGACCCAGCCATGAGCCCGTTCATTATCTGGAAGTAGCGGAGGGGCTGCTTGATGGCAAGGTACCTGTCAAAGGCAATCAGCATGACTGTGAGGACAGAGGCAGCTGCGGAAGAAGTAACAAATGCCATCCGAAGGCTGCATAGGGTCTTCTGTGTGGGCCGAGGTGGGCTGGAGAGCTGGTCTGTGACTAGGCCAGAGATGGCCACACCAAGCAAGGTGTCGGCTACAGCCAGATTCAAGGTGAAGCAGAGACCAACACCATCATTCTTGTGGATCAGCAACAGCACAGCCACAGCCACTAGTGCATTGGCAGCAATAATGAGGGAGGCCAGGACAGCAAGAGTCACTCCAAATGGAAAAGATGACTCCATGTCTTGAAGTGGCAGGATTTCCACTTACCAGGGCATTCTGGCTCTCCAGCTCAAATTCTCACGGGCTGGGAGAGAAAGGGCTGGGTTCAGAGGGGCATCAGAGATCTGGCCACGACGGGCAGCTTGCCATCTTTCAGATCCTGCTGATCACTGAGAATCACTCACCCTTTCTCTTTCAGTCCTCAGCCTATTGCCTCTCCAGCTCTCTGAAGGCAGCAATCCCTGTGTAGCCCTCCCCCTGGCCGCTGTGCTAGTCCCTCCCCCTCCAACTACCAAGTTACTAGACAACTCCCAAGTACCTGTGCATACTGTCTCGCCAGGCTCTCTTCCTCCATTGATGCTTCAAGGACTTTCTTTGGAGGGCCTGGGGCATTCATCTGATCTCCTGTCTGGCAGAAGATATAATTGACTCTAATCACACTTTTTCTTCCTCCATAGCTTGATATTAAACTCCTACTTCTTCTTTTCCCAAGCTTCAAGTACTAGCTTAACAACTGATCTCAGCTTAATTATTTGCTTAATAACAAATTCTCAGTTACTACTATTACTTCTTTCAATCAAGCAAGATGATCATAATCAGTTGAAGTGGGAAGTGAGGGCGGGCAGACTATTTCAAGGCCCAGCATACTTTCAGGGGAGCTACCACGCATTTAAGCTATTTATCTTTTGCTTCCTAACACCTCAGAGTCTAATTCTCTAAAATAGGCGGTACCATCCCCCTCTTTTTCATCCCTCAGATCTTGGCTGATTCAGAAAGGCAGGAAAATGAAAGAAGGTAATTGTTAACAGTTGTTAATTCAGTTTCGACCAGAACCCACTCCCTGTCTAAAACTTCTGTTTGTTGGGTATACTCACTGAAAACGTGTCTCTGGTCAGAAGTCGTGGTTGCCAGCCTTGCCTTTCTTGATCCTGTAGCCCCGAGGTCTCTCTGGGACAGGAGAAGAGGAGAAGAGCTGCATTCTGGAAAGTGCTGTAATATTTGGTTGTGGAATTTTCCATTTCCACTGTGGATCGTGTTAGGCTGAAGGGTGGCAGTGTTGCTGAGGCAGGTGAGATGGGCTCAGGCAGGGCCGCCGCTGTGTAGGTCACTCCTATTTTAAGTTGTATATCCATTTGTTCGGGTACATTAGAACCAACCTTTTGCCTGCTACTCTTGGATACCAAGAAGAGAGGGGTGGGGAGAAGAGTGGTTTGAAGCTTATTTACTCAGTTCAGGTGAGAGCACAAATGGGAACGGTTAGTGTTTTAAGTGAGGGAGTGGAGAGCAAGGTGCAGAGTTGGAGGCAAATATTATATCCAGGATGTTTTGACAGTCGGAGAGGGCTGTTGACAGAGGTCTCTCCTACAAATGATCACAAAGGCTGTGGCATGGGGACTTGGTACTCCAGCTGCCAGTCTGAGAACAGTTCTTATGCTTTGGTACCTCCATTAGGAAGCTGACTTCAGGTTGCTTAGTACCTGGCCTGATTTTATGCCTGGATCTAAGGTGTGCTCTAGTTTCCCTAGCTCTTGTCTAGGAGTCAATATGGTCCTTTTGAAGCCCATGCTCAAACTTGAGAGTGCATCAGAACCCCTTGGAAGGCTTGTTAACACACAGATTCTTGAGCCTCACCCTGAGTTTTAGATTATTTATGTCTGGGGTGGGCCTGAGAATCTGCATTTCTAACAAGTTCCCAGGTGATGCTGATTCAGGGACCCCATTTGAGAACCAGTGCTCTAGTGAAATGGTTCTTTTTTTTTTTTTTTTTTTTGAAATGGTTCTTAACCTTAGCCGTGCTGTGGAGTTACTTGGTGACCAAAAATACTGATGTTTTGGGTCACACACCAAGAGATTCTGATACCATTAGTTTGGGGTGTGACCTATGCATTCGGAGTTTTGAAAGCTCCTCATGTGATTATAATACTCAGCCAGGGGTGAGAACCACTGTTCATTGGCAGAAACACAGGCTCTGGAGTCAGGACACTATCTCTGTGATTTTGCTTGGACAAATGAATTCACCTCTCTGACTCAGCTGTGGCTTCCTCGTGTGTTCCATGGGGACAATAATTCCTATGTCACAAGGTTGTGGGGATGACAGAACGAGGTATGATGGATATTAAAAGGCTTCATGAACTATAAAATATTACACAGGTACTTTTATCGAGTGTCTTCTAGTCTCTTGTTAATCAAAGTGTGTATCAGATCAGGAGCATTGGTAGGACCTGTGAGCTTGGTAGAAATGCACAATCTTAGGCCCTTCCCAAGACCTCCTGAAGCAGAGTGCGCATTGGAACAAGATCTCCAGGTGATCTGTATGCACATTAAAGGTGTCCTTTCCAAGCATCTAGTCTCGGGTGCCTGGTTATGTAGGTTTACTTTTGCTGCTGTAGCAAACTGCTACAAGCTTAGTGGCTTAAACAACATAGATGTATTATTTTACCCTTCTTGAGGTCAGAAGTCCGAAACAGGTTTCACAGGGCTCCAATTAAGGCGTTATCAGGGCTGGGTTCCTTTGGGAGGCTCTAGGGGACAATAATTTCCTTGCCTTTTTCAGCTTTTAGAGGCTGCCTGCATTCCTTGGCTCATGACACATCATTCCAACCTCTGCTTCTGTAGTCACATCTTCTCTGACTCTGACCCTCCTGCCTCCCTCTTTTAAGGACTCTTGTGATTATATTGAGTCTACCTGGATAATCAATGATATCCTCCCCATGTCACATTTTCAAAGTGCTTTTTGCTGTGTAAGGTAAAATATTCACAGGTTCTGGGGATTAGGACATGCACGACTTTGGAGGGGGGCATTTTTCTGCCTACCATACCAGTGTTCTCTGCTGCCCACATCTTCTCCCTCCATCCCCCAAAGATGCTCTTCTCAGTGTAATCTTCCTTTGCTCATGTCCTAGACATTTATTTCTTTTACCCATCAACACTCTCTTGTTTTCTGTCTTATCTCCTTAGGCATCCACAAGCTGATTTAAACTAATATAGGAAGCTTTGGAAAAGAGTGGGCTCCCTGTCACTGGAAATATGCAAGCAGAGCCTGAATGCTCACCTGTCGGGAAGGCCTTAGAGATAATTCCTGCAGCAGTGCAAAACATCTGCAAAACATCGTTATTCCCGTTGCGTTGTCTTTCAGTCCCTATGCAACCTATTATTGATGGGCCCCTGGGAGTCTTCCGTTCCTCAGCTCCCTCCCTTCTTTCTTAGTTGTTCCCACCTCTGTGTCCTCCTTGGCTTTTTCTGTCCCCTTTCTCACACTACCACACAGACTCAGCTGTGTGTCCTTTGGCTTTGCCCATGCTGTGAGGTCAAGACCACAGAGAATGTGGTTCCTTCCTGGAAGGCCAGTGGTTAGTCCTTATGGTCCTAAGTCTGAGGGTTCTCAGAGTCTCCAGAGTGGAGCATTGATTGACAAGGTAAACAAGTTGGGGTTGACAAAGGGGAGGAAGGTAAAGGATGAGAGGGCTTATTCTCTGGTCAAACTATCCCATAACCAAAGCATTAAATGCTAGTTGTAGTGGGCTAAGGATGCAGTGGGGTGCTTTGTACACCCTGAGGGCATGGAACCAAGGACCAGAGGTTTCAACTGGAATGAGTGTGGAGGAGAAGCCAGGCTTCAAAAGAGCCCGCCTTTGGAGCCAGGCCCCTGGGAGAGGAGCTCTAGGAAGATATCCAAGACAAGTGATGCCTGATTACTTGTAGTGCCTAGACCAGCCATCTGCCTGTATGATTTAGCTGTGTCTTGCCCAGGGATAAAAGCAGCAGTGACATTTAATATCCCTCTGTGAATGACTAGACCATACATCCATTGCTGTTAAATATTATGCAGTGGTGTGAAAAGAATGGGATAGGCTTATATGTCCTGATGCAGCCCTCCAAGGCTTATTGTTGACTGATAAATCAAGTGACACATCAGTATGTAGCATCTGGACCCACTTACAAAAGTAAAATCCCAAACCCCAGCTTTATGTGTGTATAGGTGCACAGAGATCACCATAAATACATGTTAACAGAGAGTGAATAGCTTTAAGGAGGGGAGTGAGAAGCCGGGATGGAAAGCGACTGTCACAATTTACTTGGAATACTGACTTGTTATGTATTTTCACAGTGAGGATGTGTTCATGTAATTTCAAAAGAAAGGGGCGCCTGGTTAAGCATCCGACTTGAGCTCAGGTCACGATCTCACAGTTTTGTGAGTTTGAGCCCCACATTGGGGTCTGCACTGACAGTGTGGAGCCTGTTTGGCATTCTCTCTCTTTCTCTCTCTCTCTCTCAATCTCTCTCTCTCTCTCTCTCTCTCTCCCCCTCTCTTTCTGTCAATAAATAAATAAGTAAATAAGTAAATAAATAAATAAATAAATAAACAAACTTAAAATAAAACCTCCTCAATAACAACCCCCTTCTCCCCATTTCAGCTCAGGCACCACTTTGCAAAGGCCCTTTGCAGACCACAGCCAAATGCCTCTGTGCACACATGTACATTACGTATATACATAGTTATACACTTGCTTTTGCTTACACTTTGTTACCTGCCAGTGCTACAGTTGTAGAAAGAGGTTGTGTGTGTGTGTGTGTGTGTGTGTGTGTGTGTGTGTGTGTGGTGAGAAATGGCAGGGCAAAATGGGGTGGGTGGAGCAGTATTTGAGGCTTTAGTCCCTTTTTACAGTGGGAGGCACTTTGAAGAAACAGCCCTAGACTTCTGGGGCTTCTGAGCTGCCGTGCAACAGTGATACCAGCTAATATTTATGGGGCCTTTAAACTGCTGACTACCGTGCTAAATGTACAACATATTCTTTAATCCTTACAAAAATTCTATAAGGTAGGTACTATTAATATTCCAATTTTACAGATGGGCAAACCAAGGCATGCAGAGGGTGACTTATTTGTCCAAGGCCACACAGCTCATATAAGCAGCAGGTGTTGGAAATTCTCAGGCCAGAAGCTTGTGTGGAACAGCCACCAAGAATTTGTCCTCTTATCAACCATAGAGACCACCCCCCCTTTTTGTTTTGCCAGTTTG